TTTACAAAACAATACATATAAGTAGACTTTCACGACACATTTCCTAACATGTTCTCGAACTATTCTCAAATAACCGAAAGGTAGTAAATACTCAACCTAGCTTTTGCAACAAAAATGCTTTTCTAAGTTATATATATATATATATATCGAATCCCTATTACTTTAAGATATGGGTTTTACAAAACCAAAGAAGAAATAACATCACTCACCTGGAAATACCCAAAACTGAACAGTACGCTGCTAAACGAGCCGACGATTTTATAATCTTAACAATTAAACTAGAAATGATGTTCAAACCAAGTAAAATACTATAACAACTACAAATCGGCTAAATGATGCTTAAACGCTAACAGAACAACTCATACACATCAACAAATCGCACACCCAAAGTGATTATTCAAGCCATTCGCAATATGGAGCTCGCATGCGAAACCCTGAGATTCTCACTCTGGTCAAACCGTTGCTTTAAAACGACTCCCGTCATACCCCATGGCTCCACAACACTATAAACCACCATTTCAATGAAATTTCACGGCTCAACAACTTAAAAATCGAACTTCATGGCTTGAATTTTATATAACTTCGAATTTAAGCCATTACTCTAAATATTACTCCGATTAGATGAACAAGGGTGTGAGCAGTTACTGGGTATTGCAAATCGGAGTTTGAATTAGCTTGACAAGATTCCCGTGATGTGTCCGCGCTCTCTCTTTTCCCTCTCTCTTCTTCTTCTTTTTTCTTTTTCTTTCTTTTCTTCTCTCTTTCTCCCTTTCTCCCGCGATCCCTCGGTCACTTCATAGAACTAAGCATGCCTTTTCCCTTTCTTATCTTCTTTTTATGGGGCCCACTCGAGCGGACCAAGTCAAAAAGCAAGTAACTCTTACATAACTCATATTTGTGCCTAAATATTTGTTATTGTGGTACATTTTCTATATATTCGAGACAACGATATTGTCTAGGAGTGAGCGGTTCCAGGTTCCGAGTAGGTTCCGCCTGAAACCTGGAACCTACCTTCGGGTACAAGTTCCTCAAAATGAGGAACCTGGAACCTACCCGTCGGAACGTGGAACCTGGAACCTACCCTGTCACAGGTTCCAGGGTCGGTTCCAGATTCCAACAGGTTCTTTTATTTTATTTTATTTTTATTTAATCAAAATGAAAATGAACATTCATAAAAAACAATACAAAAGACTAATTATAAAAAATGAATCCAGCAACTGCTCCATCAACCTCTTTCTCTCTTTGCACACCCGAACCCTCTCTTCTTCATCAATTCTCGAAGCGGCACAACCCATTACTAATAATCCAATATTGCAATTCTAGTCGGGGTTCACCTACATTCACCAATTCAAGGTCTTGAAGCACGCTAGGAGAAAGTCACTGCCCTAAACAGACCACATCCCATAAATTTTGCTCAGCTCACGCTGATTTCAAGAACCAAGAACCAAGACCCAGTTCCCAACCCAGAATGCTATTCGCATAGATCACGGTTCCCTCACCATATTCCACTCCCTTCTAAGTAACAAGCGCCACAACAACCAGAACAATCTATATTCGAATTCCTTTCTCGAACACAGAAAGTACAGCCGAATGAGCTAAAGGACCTTCCTAGAGAATATCCCAAAATTCTCAAACACAGAAAGTCATGAGGATTATCAAGAAAAAGAATTTCCCAACAAGCCGACGACCCACCTACACCTTCAAGATCGCTTGAACTCCCCACTCAGCTATGAACCATCTCGACCTCAAAACGCAACCCACCCAAGATCCAGAAATCCTATCCAAAAAATGTATGAAAAAAAATAAAAGAAAAAAGAAGAAAAAAACCGTCCTCCGTCCACCTCCTCCTCTTGCTCACTAAAAGGGAACAAAGAGAGCAGCAACGACGACGGAGCACTACAAGAAAAACCCAGAAAGAAAAAAAGGGAAAGAAACAATATCCAGCTGCTCCAGAGTCCACCAGTCCAGAGAGAGTACTCTTCGCTCTCGCCAGAATTCTCTGCTCAGAGCAAATACTCTAACTATGTACTATTTAATCCCAGAATAATGAAGAAACCCATAAAAAATAATAAGGAACAGAACAAGGTGAGGACAAGAAGAAACGTTCGTCAGAGCCTAACCTGGAAAATGTCCGACAGCGGCGAGCCCGAATAATCGGAGCGAATCCGCGTGGGGAGATCACGAGACCTGCGGCGAAGAAGGCGGAGCGAGGCGGAAGCGGGAGAGAACTGCGGAAGCCGGAGCGAGGAGCAAGGCGAAAGCAGAAGCGGGAGCAAGGAGCGAGGCAGAAGCGGGAGCGAGACGGAAGTGGAAGCAGGAGCGACCGAGCGAGGAGCAAGGCAGACGCGGGAGCGAGGCGGAAGTGGAAGCAGGAGGGACAATGATGGAGGATCGGTGATTCAAGAGGAGAAGCTAGATCGGTGATTCAAGAGGAGAAGCTAGCATTTGGGAATTACGGTTTCTAAATACCAAATGTATAGTTTATGGTTTAATTTTTAGGGATCCGGTTCCTAGTCCGGTTCTTGGTTCCGGTTCCGTTTCCCGGTTCCGATCCGGTTCCAGTTCCTATAGGAACCGGGAACCGGAACCGGAACAGCCGGTTCCTAAAAAAGGGAACCGAGAACCGGACCCTCTGTCCATGGAACCTGGAACCGAACCGGACCCACCGGGTCCGGTTCTCCGGTTCCCGGTTCTACCCTGGAACCACGCTCACCCCTAATATTGTCTTCCTTCGGCTTATGACCTGGCGAATGACTGGTTACCTTGTACTCAAGTAAAGGAGGAAATGAAGATGGATTTGGAAATTTAAGAGTCTCCCTCGTATTAAACATTTTATCTGGCAATGCTTGCACACAGAATCGCTATGAAGCACATGTTAGCAACTAGGGGATTGAATGTTAGCCTTCAATGCTCGAGATGTCACCCAGGTAATGAAATAGTTGAGCACGGTCTTAGGGACGGCGGTCTTAGGGATGGTGATATTGCGAAAACTTTATGGAATGATCTCCCGATCCCGCCAGAAGTTAGGCATTCCTTCGGAGACCGACCTGTTCGGGAGTGGACATTATCACGGTAAGAGTTGGTCTACCATGCCAAGGATTCCCTGGAATATTGTATTTCCCAAGGATTGTGAAGATTCATGTTTACGATGGTTCTAATAACATCTCTAATTTAGCTCCATTTTGTTTGTCAAAAGCAGGGGAGTTTTATCCCACGACGATGTATGAACCGAGAAGACGTCTAAGAACGTGGGAAGATGACAAATGCAGCAAGCCTAAACTGTGACGGATTAAACTTAACACGGAATCAGCGGTGTCAACGCCGAATAAAGTAGCTGGACGAGGTGGTCTGCCAAGACTCCACCTCGGCAACTGGATAGCGGGGTTTGCTTAGCGAATTGGCAAGACTAACGCCTCCACGGCAGAAGTCTGGGCTCTTAGAGATGGAGTACAACTGGCAGTTGACAAGAGAGTGGCTCGTTTACGTACAGAAATGTATGCAAATTCTGTCATACAAGTTTCGCTACCCTAATGAAAATGATGTGTTATTTAAACCCGTCTTTGATGATCGCAAGAGATTGCTAGGGGGCCCGCAGGAGCGCCGGACAGTGCACGTCTCGCGGGAAGCTAACTGCTGTGCCGATGCATGGACATATATGGCGAAGACTCAGGGTATGTATTTTGTTCAATACCTACTGTACCTGATAGTATTAGGCATCTTTTGCTTAAAGACAGGGCTGATAGCTCCTTTTTTGAGGTAGAGATCGATGTAACCTTAGACATTAGACATTGCTTCTGTTTGTTTATGTATTTCTTTGACTTACCCAAAAAAAGAACGAAGAGTTCATTTTGGTTTGCCCTCACTTTCACTCTACCATTGGGGATTGATTAGAGTAAGTGAGATCATCTAGAGAAGGAGAGCTAATATAAGGATTCTGTTTGTTTCTCAAAAAATGAATGATTTGAAAAATATTTTCCTAAAAATAATCGTTTATATTGCTTGAAATAATTAGTTAATGAAAAATATTGTTATTATCAACAACAATTTATGTCCAAACTTTTTTATGAACGATAAAAATATTTTTTTGTTCATTCATTTTTGTGAGCGATATAAGTGATCATTTCTAGTTGATTTCCTCTAAAACCTTAAATTTTTTATGATAAACTTTTCGTTCCTTTTATATTGAAAGTTAATATTTACATGTCTAATTTTTGTCACAGATCCCATCACGGATACTTAGGTTCGCAAAGTCAACATTATGATATTCTTGGTAAGAAAAAAAGACATATATATTGTGGTATTCAAGTATACATTTTGAGTATTTATATCAATATAAATCAATTGAAAACTCTATAGTTGAACAAAAGAACTGACCCTGAATATTTTTTAGGTCAATTTGAAAGTTAAACAAAAGTGTAGAGTTTGATGATATTCTTGTTTAGGTTAAGGAAAAAGCCACAAAAAACCTCAAATTATACTCACAGTTACACATTTACGCTGAACTTTTTATTGTGACATCAAAAACCCCAAATTATACCCACTGTCTGTGATACATTTACCCTAAACTTTTTCTCGCGACATAAAAAACTCCAAAATTGTACCTATATGACGTATTTACCCTCCGTTACATGAGAATAAATTAGATGACAAAATAGCTTGATAAATAATCACATATAACATAACATGATAGACCAGATTACCTAATAACATGATTATTGATAAATGATCAGATATAGCATGACATGATAAATTTCGTATGACAATTACATTACATGCAGAGTCCTTTTCATTTAATTTATGTCATATGTACGTTTAATGAATCACGAACCACAAAATGAAAAACACCTAAAAAAATAAATGATACAGCCTTGCTGGGCCAGTACCCAATCTTTCAGCAACCATAAAGAAGCCATGATAATAACTATTTTCTTTTGTGTCTGGATTTATAGAACATGATGGCAACATCAATTAGGTTATAATTAAGCGCTTGAAGAGACTAATTAAGGAGGGGAAAATGCAAAATTTGACATTGGGTAACTAGAGGAGAGTTTCATGAATTACATTGCAGAGTTTCTTAATGGAAAAGATCCCTTGAGCCTATAGCTTCCCCAGTACAAAATCTATAACCACACAACACAAAAAGTCACTCATTTAAACATTAAACAATTCTTGAAAATACTATATTCATCTGTCTTTCCATCTCCCAAGAATAAGACCTCGAGGGAGGGAACTTCTTGGATCTCCACGTCTCCGAACGACCCTCTGCCTCTACATTCCCACAACAAGACATCCTGACACTCGTCACATGATGAAAAGCCATGAACTTGTTTCAAGTCTGCAAAGGAAATGCGGGAAGATTTTAATAAGCGAGGACAACCGTAGCCGGTATGGCAATAATGGACTTGAAAGTTGGTACATAATGAACTTATGGAAATTTCCCAAAAACACTACTGAAATTGACTCGGGTACTACTTTGCATTCATAGCATTTAAAACTCCAGTAATTTTATTGCTATCAATGTAGTGTTTGCGACTTTTCATAATCCGACTAATTCGAATCGAAGTGTGGCGGTCCCTCTCCCAAACAGACTGAGTAATCACTGGAGACATACGGATTTATCTATCCTAGGGAGACAGAACCTACTACCTCAGATACCCTTCAGTGGTTAAACTCCAAATTTGCATCTTTGACTAGCCCTTTTTTTCTTCACAATCTTAGACTAGCTTAAACGAACAAACTACTTGTCTTTTAATAACAAAACCGAACGTGTTAGAAACATGGTAGGGCATTTTTGGAATAAAATACAATTTGTCCAATTTGAAGTGTAATTCAAAACTCAAGTCGAAATTGGCTTTTAAAATGGGAGACCAAAACATTAAGTGAGAGGGACTACTTTATACTTTTCCTAATTTCTTTGGTAACTTCATTATATACCTCATGCTACTTAAGAAAAAAGGAAAAGAGTTGTTGACTGGCATCATGATCAAAATATCCTGTTCGACATGATTTACAAAGAAAATCACAATTTTTAGAGCATTCTTTGCTAATGATTAAAATTTTCTTTGGAAAGGAAACGTCTCAGTGGAGACCATCCTAAAAAATATCCCTAGAAATATTGATTGCACGCATTTTAGATGAAAGTTGATGCTTTGAAAATTTTTGATTATTAACTTAATTCAAAATATTGAAACTTTTAAATTTTTCAAATTTTGACATTGTACATTCGAACTTTGTTTATTTCATATTCTGGACGAAAATAATAAGTAGAAGTCGAAATTCATCTATAAGCGGAGACAAACAGGAAACTTTTGAGACACTTGTTAACGTCCTTTAGGGGATATGGCCAAAAGAAAAAGCCCTTTAGAAGAGCCAAAAGGAACAAGAGTTTTCTGTAGGACTGGTTTACGAAATTGAGTGCTCTTTAACAAGTGAACATGTTGAAGAACAAGCAACAGTTTGACATGGTCTTTGTTAGTCTAGCATTATTCTGCATAGTAGTAGATCTTGAGTCATGGTATCACGAAGAAGCGAATGCTCCGAAGATCAGTCAACTCGCAACGCAAAAATTGTACAGATTGAAAGACAATTTCTGGCTGAACCCGAGCTACATTGAACATAACTAAGAGCACCCAGAATACCACTTTTTTGATGACATTCAAAATTGCCGCACTTCCTCGTTTAACAGGATGACTTCTTCATGAAACACAGAAAAGTGTGATCAGAATTGGTAATTAGATGTGGGGCAGACTTACTCGTTGATTTGTATTGGTACTCTTTAAGTTCTTGAATTCAGGCGGCGGCTTGGTACTTCTCTGGCGGCTCCACGGCCTCTGGCGAAAATGAGTGGGCGGAGGGGTCGTAGAAGAGTGAGTCTCGGGACCTCTATAGTCTATGTCGTACACCTCCGAATCGTCCGATCCATTCATGTTCCCTGTAGCGACACAATGAAATTAACCATGCCATTCTTGATGAGGACCATCGCTAAATCAACTGCAAAGTCTCGGTTGGATATCATCAACTATAAAGACGGGGATTACGCGAAGTTTAGACAGGTAAGTCGATATTAGCTAATTAACTGGATCCAGATCTGAGAACAATTTGACGGAGGCGAACTTCATCACCAGCCCAGTTTCAATGTAAATTCCTTTCTTTGTAAACCATGTTTTCAGTCCATTGATCACCACGTGCATATCAGGGAGAGAGAGAGAGACCTGTGGAAAAGTGAGGCGAAGAGAGGAGGAGGAGGAGGAAGAAGACGGCTGCGACGGTAGACTTGGCCTCCATGGGCATCTTTTAGCGGCCCTTGATCGATCTTGAGACTCTGCTATACTGCAATGTTCATGCTGGACTGGGTAGATGGCACATAAATATGAACTGGGCGAAGGTGGAAGAAGGGATGGACGCGAAATTTAAGGCGTTGGGGTCACGGAAAAAAGCACAGTTGAGGTTGAACTTCACCTTTCTGAGGCGAGTGAAACCGTCGCCATCATGCACAGCAGGGAGACGCAAGGTGTGTTGATGGGAATTTGCTGGGCTGGAAACATTAATGGGATGCAGCTGCACCATTGTCATGCACCAAGTTTTAGGTTCTTTTAATTTATCCATTTGCTTTCATGCATACACAGGCGCAGGCTTAAGAAAGCTAGAATAAAAAAGGGAATAAAGACACTACAAGTGTCATAATTTTTGCATGGCGCTCACTTACATACTATAACTTTTTCTTTCTTTCCATCATATGAGCGCCATAACTTTTGCACGACACTCACTTGAGTGCCATGACTTTTTTTTTTCAATTATATATAACATTTCAATCGATCACTTGAGAGTCATAACTTTTTAAAAACATTCATCACAAACGTTATGCCACGTTCGATTTTTGGTACTTGGATGAACGTTTTTTTTTTCAAAAATTATGGCACTCAAGTAATTGATCAGAAGTTATGATATTTAAATGAACATTTTTTTTTTGAAGTCGTAACACTCAAGAGGATGAAAAAAAGTTATAGCACTCAAGTTAACACCGCACGAAAATTATGACACTTGTAGCATCTTTATCCCAACAAAACATATTTTCATTATGCCTGAACAATTTTATTAATTATGAAAATATTTTTCTATTAACGTATTTTTCTAAACAATTGAAGTAATGAATTTTTTTTTTCTGAGTTAGTGATTTTTCAGGACACTGTAGCATTTTGAGCGTGCAAATGGAGAGTCCTTTCAACAATTCCAGCCCAAGGACAGAAAGTTGAGTAGGTGGTAGGAAAGCAAGGGGAGGCCGGACCGACACATTCTTATCTTCTCTGCGCAGCGTCACCTGCCGACCATGTTATGTAAATGAAGAGACAATAACCTTTTCTATTTTAATTATGAAAAACGAAAGAAAAACCCAAACACGTCGGACGGAGAATTTCCCAACATCTAACAATGGGTTTGTTTCGTGAAAATGAAAGATTTAGAAAACATTTTTTTTAAAATGATATCTTGTATCACTTATAAAAATAAATAAATGAAAAATATTTTGATCATCCACAAAAATATTTAGACATAATTTGTAGTCGATAATGAAATAATTGAACATAAAGTATTAGGCATACGCTTATTTTTCATTTAGAAATTTAGATAATGAACTCGCTTGTATGAGTTTGTTGATGCATAAATTTTTGCTTGCAGATCTCTCATGCATTTAGAAATTAGAGGCATTATAGTATAGATAACTAGTTTCCACCACTTTCTGTAAATAAATAAAAAAAGTTGCCAACTCATATAAGTCATTTATGCATTCCATAAAAATGAAGAGTCGGATTGGTTGATAACCACGTAGTTCGATTCCTAAAAAAAATATCATTGTCGTATGAACTTCGATTCAGTCTTTTATTTTGTGTGTCTTCTCAACATTTAATTTTAAAATTCGTCCAAATTAATGGTCACCCCTAATCACTCATTTTGCATCACATTTTTACATTATTAACCTGGCAAAATTACCCTCACAAATTGGTCATTACATAGGGAAAGATTGAACTTGCGAATGAGACCTTTTGGGTATACTAAATGAGGTAAGAATGTGTCGTGATATAACGTGGAAGCTAACCAGATCTTGCAATTAAGTTAATACAAAATCACTAGAGAAATAAACGATAAATAATAAAGAACACGAGAGATTTACGTGGTTCGATCCGAGTGTCGATACAAGTTCAACGGGAAGAGCCGGCAACAATTAATCCACTAATAATTAAAGAATAAAGAGTTTTAGCATCTAAAGCTTCTCTTTTAGCCAACTTCTGTGGAGAGATTATGACCGTTTGATTTGAGTTTTCATTTATTTCTCTGTCCTGAGAATACATGTGTGCGTGTTGTTGTGGGTGTGACATTCACTCCATTTTGCATCACGTCCCACATCAAATGCTCTGTGAATATGATGAAACCTTTCATTTTGTTCTTCAGGACATCATAATCTTTACCATTGACGTAGGGAAGTCTGGTGTTGCTTTGTCCTTCGACAATACCTGGTCCAAGAGTGCTAGCCATAATAGATCGTTAGCTCAGAAATAAACACTTCAAAATAACGAGCACCATACTCTGATACCAATTGATGTTGGCTAACATAACAACTAGAAGGGAGTGAATAGGTGTTTTCAACAAACTTGACAAAAATTGCAGAATTGAAAGGGAGTGTAATATAACTGTGATAGGGTAAAGCAGTGTGCTGACATAAGCACAAATCAGTTATATCAAATAGTGTAGTGCAGTGCTTCCATTAAGAAATAATTCAGTATGAGCAGAGAGAGATAGACATCAATGCGCGCACAGTTTATAGTGGTTCGGCTTGGTGTAAGCCTACGTTCACTCTCCTAGACTGATAGCTTAGGTTACAAATGATAATCATTCTGTTTCTCTGTTTTTCTATTTTTCTATTCCAGGGAACAGGTTTAGAATATAAATCCGTTTGGTAACGCAATTTGATTTTTCTATTTCTAAAACAAATTTTGATTTCAGAAATAGATTTGGAAAAAAATAAGAAGTAAAAATTTTCTACTTTTCAATTTCTGGAATAAAAATGAGAAATAAAAATTCTTCTCATCGCTCTCCCTCACTACTAGGCTACTAGCTGGTTGCCTACCCGCCACCCACTGTTGCCCACCTATTGTCCGCCGCCTCCCGCCAGCCGCCGGCCATCTTCCCCTGCCGCCGGTCGCCTCCCGTCGCCGCCCGCCGTCTATGCCTCCCCCTGCCAGCTGCCATCCACCTCCTGCTACCGCCGCCCTCCTCCTGCTGTCGCCCGCCATCCTCCTCCTAGCCATCGCCCGTCGCCCGCCTCCCGACACTAGCTGCATCCTGCTACCGCCCGCCCATCATCCACTCGCTAGTCGCTTGGGAGGGAGAAATTTTGTGCCGTTATCAAATAAATTTTTGTTTCGAGAACATAAATTTTGTATTGTTATCAAACACGTATTTTTGCTCATAAATTCATTCATGAAATAGAAATAGAAAAATCTATTTCTGGTCAAAAATTGATTTCTGAAGTAGAATGCTTGTCGTTCGTGTCCTTACTATTTGTTTCACTCGTCAATGTTAAGAAATTAAAGTGGTAAGTGTTGCTTATACTCAAGTACTTTTCCTCGAAACTGGTGTTGTTTATACTCAAGCCGATATATCACACTATCATACATTTAAGCACGAACTTTCACACTGCTAACACTTCTCAAAGATTACAATATTGAATGCTCTTAGAAGGTGAATGTAAAATGCAAAGCTTTATCAAAATTTGGATTTTTGAACTCTAGACCCGTTTTGCTCTTCGGCGACTTGGTCCTCTTTTATACTCCTTAATATCCAAACTTCTCGTTGGACAATCTTCAAGATGATCAATCTCCAATTTAGTTGTTGGACAATTGTTAAGAAGATTTCTGACCAAAAGAAAATTGTTGAGAAGATTAGGGTAGCCGAATTCAAGTAAATTTGGTCGCTCGTACAATCAGATCTTGGTTTTACAAAAGTGGAGTGACTTTATTATGGAAAGTATCTTGCCTTGGGATGATTGTCAATCAATGAAAGATATCATGTGTTATTGAATATTTTCCATAAAAAGTCTTTAAGATTGATGGTCAATCAATATTTTCTCAAAAATAAGAATCCATACCAAAACACAAGTTGTCAAGGGATCTCAAAATAATAATCTGGAAAATCATGATAAGATTGTCATTGCAAGTAGTATAAATGTTTCACTTATGTCCACAGTCACCGGTTCTATTAGCATTCTAGTTATCTAATGATATTATACTCTAGACAGGCTTCTGCTTATATTCAGCCTTCGTAGTACTCTGTTGATATTCAACTTATGCAATCATCTACTTATATCAGACTCTAGATATATTTGGCTTCCCGGTCATGTCTAGGTTCTCTAGTTATATTCAACTGTTTTTCTCATGGCACTTCAAGTACAATAGTGGTGAAGATCCTGTAGACTTATTACCTTAGTATTTGCAAGTCTAAATGAACTCCCTATTATTCTAGACTTGCTCACGTAGGTTCTCCCATTCATTTAAAATCTTTCCACTGATTTTAATACAGATCCTTTTGAAGCGGATATTACTTGAAACACAAACAACTCTTGCATTTATCATGACTGATATAAATTTTGGATAGTTTTGTCAATTTCAAAATATATTAGGAGGTTTTCTCAATAGTTTCTAAGGCAATAGAGGAATCGATAGTTTATTTCAACATAAAATTAGTTAAGTGGATTTCATTGTGAAAACCGTGTTAGTTATCTTGACAAAACATATAGTTAATCATTTTGAATTAAGTCCATGGATTCCAAAATTGATCAATGTAATTATGTAACTAAAGATGGTATAAGATCCTCATTGATATACACCATCTTACAAGGTATAATATGTATGGTATACTTAATCTATGTGCTAATTTGATCTCTTTCGATTTTGTTTATATATAATTGATGCCTCCAAACTTCGAAATGAGAATGCATTGGATTGAGATAGGCTATTACTACATGTAATATTTAATTTGTCAATTTCAAGTACACGATATTACTTTTTTTTATTAAATAACATTCCAGGTATTAGAAAATGTTGTTTAAGGTGAGAAACGAATAATACCACTAATACATATTCACTCATTTAATGGAAACAATAAATACATCGTACTAATCTCTTCGTACTAAGTGCCAAAAAAAGTCTTTAAAAATGGATATAAATAGCAAAATTTGAATTACACATCTCTTTCTCAAGCCCTTTTCAAAAGATTATTCTGATATAAATAAACCTTTTTAAGTAAAAAAATTTAATTAAAATAATTATATTGATTCGGCGTGGGTTAATAACTAGTATATCATCAAATGGGCACTATGCTTGTGGGTGGAGGTGGAATGTACATTGACTTGTCGAAGGATTGGGACCCACAATGATTAAAAGAAGAAGAAGAAAAAGAAAAGAAGTGTTGAAAAGTCAAAGAAAAAGAGGAAAGTGGTCTT